GTTGGCCTTTGTCGTGGTTGTCTACAAAACTTTGACAATCTTGTGAAGATTTGAGCAGACCAGACTGCTGCATTTGCAAAACTAAAACACTTGACAACCCATTAAAACTAGATCAGAGCAAATTTTGATATAAATGTAGAGTATTTGAATACTTCAAAACTTATACAACAAAATAGTATCACATTTAGTTATACATGTTTTTGCTCAGAATTGCTACATTATGGTCTTATTCCATTGCAGAATGCAGGTATTCAGAACAATATGATTAGTATATCGGAACAATAATATGCTTTGCGACTTCCTCTCCTCACATAATGAAGCGTTTTCTCCATCTGATTCCATCGATATCATCAAATGCTTGGTCTGGCATTGAGGCGAGAAGCAATCTTTTGACCCAAAGATTTGTCAGCCTGAAGTTACAAGTCACAACAAGATGATTAAATTATTAAGCACTACTTAATCATTAACATTGTGTCTTCTTTGGCATTACAACAGATCGAAGTGGTCGTATAAACAACCGCAAACTCATCGTGCCCTAAGAGAATTAGTGTGACAAAAAACACTAAAAAGCTTCATCCTTCCACATTGTGTATGGTTAAATGTCCATACAAGCCAAAGATCAAAGAATGAGATTCTCACCTGAGACCAGTATGAGATCCAAACGCTGCGGATCTCGTGTGTGACCCTCGGATCAGACAAGGCATCAATCCAGCGTTTAATAAAGCGTTCTTGCCTGAGAGACAAACATACAACCAAAATGGAATTCTGTAAGTAAATATGTAAAGAAATCAAGCAATGTCTTGTCCACTATGAAAGTAAAAAGGAAAGAAAAAAACATGTCGGGTGAAAAGGACCGGTATCTATCACCAGCCTGCTTAAAGTTGTTTTCCTTCTCAATAATGCACTGACAATAGTTAAAGAAATCATAAACTGATCATTATCTAGTCGGAAGTAGAAATCAAATCATATTCTAAGTTGGCACCTCTGAGATTCAAGCTCAAAACTTAAATTAGTTGAAATAAGATCTTAGAGAAATAAGTAACCTTCTCTCTTTTGCCGCTACAAATGGAAGAAGGAATAGGGTGCTGCTCAGCATGGCGAACAGGATCATACCTCGAAGGGAAGTAGTTCACCTGAAAGGATATTGTCAACGATAATTATGCAAAAATAAAATGATTCTTGATAACCAATAGACGCAGAATACATATAAAAAGGTTACTAGACCATTAAAGGAAGGACTCTACAGAAACTCGTGATCACTTAAGCGTATCTGCACAACAGGAAAAGAAAGATAGAGAGAGAGACGTAATACCTCCTCATCTCTTTGCATAAAATTCATAAAACCATCATGGTGATTATTGTGGTGAACACATTTGGGAGCATTTGCTGGAAGCTGAAGATAATTCTGTCCAAGACGGTATCTTTGAGTGTCAGAATAGGAGAAGATTCTGGTTTGGAGCATCTTATCATCTGAATAATAGATGCCAGGGACAATGATGGAAGGGCAGAAAGCTAACTGCTCGTTCTCTGCAAAGAAATTATCAATGTTCCTGTTTAACACCAGTCGACCCACTGGCTGCAACGGGAAGATGTCCTCTGGCCAGGTCTTGGTTACATCAAGTGGGTCAAAATCAAACCTGTTCTCATCAGCAGGATCCATTATCTGAATGAATAGCTTCCACTCAGGGTAGTTTCCGGCTGCAATCGAGTCATAACGATCTTGTGTAGCGTGACTGTGATTAGCTCCACCAATTCTTATGGCCTCATCCTCTAGCAGAGATTTTACGCCGCAAGTGGGTTTCCAGTGGAATTTCACATAGTGTGACTTTCCAGCCTTGTTGATTAGAGTGAAGGTATGAACACCAGAGCCATCCATGTGCCTATAATCCTGTGGAATACCGATGTCATCAAAGAGGAAAGTGAACATGTGCAAGCTTTCAGGATGGTGCGAAAAGAAGTCCAGAATCCTCCAGTTCTCCTGAATGTGGGACTTTGGGTTGGGTTTGAGAGCATGGACCATATCAGGGAACTTCATTCCGTCACGGATGAAAAACACAGGGAAATTGTTCCCCACCAGATCAAAGTTTCCCTGGTTGAACAACAAGGAACCAAAAAGAGCAAACAATTAACTTCACTTCTCATAAATTAAAATGGTATTTCTCTGACTCAAATACCTCAACAAATATGTATATGAGGATATTTTCTCTATATGTATGCAGATAGTATATATATAGATATACAAAGAAGGAATAGTGTGGCAATGCTTACAAAATTAGGAAAACAGAAGCAATCAAACAAAACTTTAGATATTGAACCAAATCTTTAGTTACCTCTCGAGTGTAAAATTTCACAGCGAAACCTCGAGGGTCTCTCAAAGTTTCAGGACTACCACGTTCATGAATGACAGTGGAAAATCTAACAATGACTGGGGTCTGAACTCCAGGGCCACGAAGGAAATCAGCACATGTGAGGTGAGATATATCATGAGTGACCTCAAAGAACCCTTTTGCACCGGCTCCTCTAGCATGAACAACCCGTTCAGATATGCGTTCTCGATCAAAATTAGCTAGCTTTTCCACCAAATGATAATCTTCTAGGAGAATCGGACCTGTCATATGATATAAGCATTATTAACACCTCCGATTTTACTGCATGTATCTTTTGCTTTTGCTTTGCCATAGTGCTAGTCCGCCCTAAATCATATAGAACCAATCAAAGAACTTTACCAGCAAAAATGGCTGGCATGATGCAAGAAGCTTTGATGTCTTATAAGAAACATGATTCAAATCAATTGATGTTAACATTTCCAAAATCAACACCTTAATAAGGCTAAAAGCAGTAAATATGAAACGCATCCAGATCGACCCAAAAGATTCAACATTGATGATTTAGAAAGTCTCATATTCATCTATGAAAACGCTACAAGGAATAAATATGGTATAGGCTCAGCAAGAATCATATATAATTACCTCTTGCTCCGACAGTAAGTGATGAGTTATTGTTCCAAACCGGAGCACCAGAATTGGTGGTCCAGAACGGGGAATCAAAGGCACTTGAAGGACGCAACTGCATACAAAAAATAGCTCCAATAAGAATTAAAAATAAGTAGGCACAAGCAAACAAATTGAAAATCATACAAGATTATATGAAGTAAACGACCAAAACCCAGAAACTGAAAACCCGAACTAAAGGAAATTACACATGATAGATAGCAAGAAAAGGCAGGATAAGTGAAAATAAAAAAAACTAAGCATTGAAAATAGACATTGGAACTACATAATTTGATATAGATAATAGGAATACTATCTCTCTGCTTGGTAGCTAAGAAAATACGGGCAGATAGAAAGGAACTTAAAGATTACTCATTCTTTAGAGCAAGAGCAAACAACAATCTTTAATGAGATAACTTTCTCAAGTTTGTTCAAAAGTTTTGACCATTAACATACTATATCCTCTAAAAAAATTTCCCAGTAAACAATCAAAAGACGCACAACAAAAAAATCATATTAAGCAATTAAGAAAAGCAGTGCTCTTTTTATTATTTCAGACTTGGTAGATATAAAGCATCCCAAAACAAAGATAAAAAACTTGGAGAACAACTGAAGCTTAAGCAATGGGGTAAGTGGTACCTTGTAAGGATCCATGATGAGACAAGAGAAAGAAGGTAATCTAGATTGGAGTTACGAGAATGAAGGTAGCTATCTGTTTCTGTTCTAACTTATACATCTGTTTTTTTTCTTTCTATGATAATAACTGCCAATTTTTAATATTAAAAAAATTGTACACTTTATGTATACCTTAAAATATTGTTCATAGAAATGCGGGGCATGTTTTCCTCTTTAGTTAAACCATGTTTGAATAATAAAATAGGTAAATTACATATTCAGAATCTAAACCATCAATTTTAATACTTAAAATTTTAATTTCTTTTAAATCATATTTAAAGTTTAGATTTTATTTTATTTTATTTTAATATTTCATTTAAAATTTAATGTTAAGTTTTGGTCCGTTCAATGCTCATTAATTAAATCAATTGAATTGGAGTAATTCATCAGCAATTGGTTGAGGCCAAAAAGGAATATAAAAAATGAAGAAGATAAGTTAGAAAAAGAATATAAGGACGTCATAGATTAAGGATGGAAGGCCACAAGCCCTTATGCTGAGGTTTTGGCCTTTGGGAAACCTTTTGAGTCACCAATTGTTGGTGGGTTCCTTGAAAACTCCTCTTTTTTTTTCTGGAAAAAAAATGTTTTTGGCGTGTTAATAATCTGCAGTTGCATGCATTTTGTTTTTGCTCAATCGGATTTATGGCTTACAAAACACACTCGGAAAAGGGTTGATGAGGTGGAAGAGCCACCACGCCTCCAAACCATTTCTCAATTCAAACAATTGTTTTCCCAATCACTAAATATGTGATACAATAAATGAAATTATCTCAAATTGAAGGATGGGTTTAAAAATCCAATAGTTAATATAAGATTAAAAAAATTATAATTAAAAAAATTATCAAGAATGTTTTAGGTTAAAATCAAAAATACTATGTTTTTCATTTCAAATTATGTAAATTACATAACAATTTCGGTTGTAGTCCAAAAAGTTAGTGTCAAAACATTCTTAGTTGTAACTGAAATTGTTATCAATTGTTTAATTTTTTAGAGTAAACAAGTAATATTTTAAGTTAAAACTCGTTGTAATGTAATGTTAGGTTAGACATGATAACATTTTAAATTAAAATTATATAACTTTTAGATTGGACATGATAATATTTTAAATTAAAATTTATCACAAATTAACTTTAAATTAAGTCGCCGTCCATCGAAACTACTTGAAAATGAAATTTGATTTTATTCAAAGTGAATCAGTTATTTAAAAGGATGGTTTTTAAAAAATCTAAGAAACGATGGATTTTGAAGTAAAAAATAATTTGCTGGACAATACAGTTTCATTGAGTGAAAATATACTTATGACTCGCGGCCTTGGCTCATCCAAGGAAAACCCAGATTCATTTAGACCAAGCTTAATATCCAGATTGTACAACACATTTTCCCTGACCTCTCAACAAAGAGACTACACACCACTTCTTTAAAGCCCTGCTTCTTTGGTCCGTCCTCTACTCATGTTCAAAACAACAGACCTCTACATAAACTACATAATGGTCACATATTACTGGCCATGATTTCCCAGTAAGCGCTCCACTGCAGCATGAACATTCCCTGAAATCGCAATCAATGCATGAACATTCTCTCGATAGTCAACGAAACCCATTTCATGAAGTTGCAACAATTGAGTGGCGGATAGGTCCTCTGGAGGTACTGATATGATGGAATGAATATTGTCAATTGGTGAGGAGGTGAGGAGGAAAGCAGAAGTAAATGGGTCCCCCAAAAAGAACTGCGGACACTAACCATCAGGTCTATTAGGAACAGCCAAGCTGCCAGCTCCAAGTCCTGCAAACATGGTCCTCAGTGCCTCCAAACCCGTGTTGTTGACAGTTCCTGAAAATATATTACGATTATAAAAAATACTCTCGTTTACCAAATCGTTTCTAACAAAATAAAAATTGCTACTTGTATACCCCCTCGTATTGTTGATGAAGGAATGAGATGACATTGATTCCAAGTCCTGAAAACATGGTCCTCAGTGCCTCCAAACCCGTGTTGTTGACAGTTCCTGAAAATATATTACGATTATAAAAAATACTCTCGTTTACCAAATCGTTTCTAACAAAATAAAAATTGCTACTTGTATACCCCCTCGTATTGTTGATGAAGGAATGAGATGACATTGATTCCGCAAAATCATTTATAACAATGCTAACTCTCATGTAATCCAAGTCTCACAATTTTGAATTCTCAATTCACTAATAGTTAATACTAAACCATTGCCAATCTCTTTGATAAAAATGAAATAAAATTAATTGCCTCAAAACATACAGATGGAGAAAATTAGACTAAGTCATATCACTCGGTATATGATGATGTTGATTTCAATAAACAATATGGTAGTATTTCGAGTGCATGCAACGCAATGAGTGAGAAAGGAGGAGAGAGAAAGAGAGGTTGTGACAGGCCGTTCATCCTCCGATGAGGAATGGGCTGTCTTTGTAGATAATCTTAGCAAGAGAGTTACTAGAAGAGAGTTAAGAGAGATTTTCAATCATTATGGTCAAGTATTAAGGGTCTTTATTCCAAGTTTTATGGTGAAACCAAATTATAAGTCATCAACGTTCGCCTTTGTGCAATATGCGATGGAGGAAGGTTGTAGAAGAGCGATACAAAATGTTAATGGAACGCTGATTGATGGCAAGAGAGTCTCAGTGGGGGTTGCAAAGTATAAGAAGGGAAGGAGAAGAGAAACAGATGACAAAAAGTTCCAGGTGGAAGGTAACAAGCAAGTTAGAGGGGAGAAAGGTAGGCATCAGGAGGTAATGGAGAAACCGAGAAGTCTGAGGGATGGAAGAACGTATAAGGAGGTGTTGAACGTGGATAATAGAAGGAGAATGGAGCATGAAAGAGTGGGAAATAAGGAAGGTCAAAATTTGAAAGCAAATGGATTAAGGAACGTATGGGAAATGCACATTCCTAAAAATGATTCAAGCTGGGTGAAAAAATCTTTAACAGGGGTTATCAAATATCCCTTACAGTCTGATATGGTGAAGAAGGCTTTGGCAAAGGAGGGATATGAGGTCAAAATAGTAAGCTGGGGATACGTAAGAAATGCTTGTATTAATATATTCAATTCCAATGAAGAGTTCTTAAAGGCTTGGTCGAATAACCGAGAGAAGTTTTTCTGGTTTCATTGGTTATCTCCATTGTTGAATGAGGAAGGAGTTCCATTGGCGTATTGTTTGGTAGAGCTGGTTGGGTTACCACTTCTTAACTGGATGGTACCTTTTCTGGAGAAACTAGCAGGTAGTTGGGGAGAGTTCGTTAGTATCCTGGAGGAGACAGAATAGAGATGATCTATCATCAGCGAGATTATTGTTAAGGGTAGCAAGCCCTTTTGATGTACCCGAATTTATTAATGTAGGGTCATATGGAAGATCTTTTAAAGTCAAAATTAATTTGGGATCGAAGTGTAATAAATTCCAAGCTGCATTCGGAGAAGAGCTGCAGAAGTTTTCAGACGATGGATGCAGTGCAGATTATTCGAAGGTGTTAGTTCAAAGAAGGAAGAAGACAAGTGGGAGATGTCAGCAGAGGAAGTATGGTCAAAGGTGGACACGTGGCTACAGCAAGGACAAGAAAGTGGGAGGAATGAAGGAGGCGGGGAACAAACTCTGAAACAGAAGTCCCACACGAAACCTATAATTAATGGGTTGTCAGATCATTTTGAATTTGAACTTGAGTCTAATCTCTATAAAGATTATGCGGGCCTTGGGCTGCGAAAGGAAGTGGATCATATACATTTAGTCCAATTTGACTCTAACTGGGAATCATATTCACCAGTCAAGAAATTAAATCCTGTTGGGCCTGCTGTTAAAATAAAATGGGATGGGTTGGATAAGCATAATAAGTTCCAGTCTCTTTATGAATTAATGGAGGATGATAGTTGCAATATTATAGAAGAGGAAAATGAGGGACTTCTACGAGATGATGTTAATGTTCGTGGTAAGAAAGCAGAAGGAAGTGTTCTGCAGGAGGAAAATAGTGAAGGAATTGTGAAGAGCTCCAAATGCTGGAAAATGGGATGTCCTGTTTCTGCATGTCTATCAATTAGAAGTGCACCAGGTAGAAGGAGAGAAAGAGGTCACTTTGCTAGAGTCTATAGAAGGTCAAGAAATAGACGAATCTGGGTATGTGCGAATAATGAAGTTGAATTATTTTGTTCAGAGGTTAGTCCGAATCAAGTACAGAAGTTTAAAGAATGTAGAAATTTTCAGCAGAGTTCTTCAGAAAATAGGGGAATTAGACAGGAAAATGAGATCAATTAATCAATAGATGTTCAGAATACACCTATAGTTCCATTAATTTGCAGTAATCATTCAGAGAGTATGACAACAACTTTTTATACTGCTTCAGGGACAGGAAAAAATAAAAGAAGAGAAGAGTTTTAATCAATGAAGCTTTGGAAATGGTTAATAATTCTACTATTTCTTCATCTCAATTCTCGAAGTTGTTGGAGGAAGCAATGGCCACATGTGAAGTTTATCAGATGTAAGGTATTTCTTTCAAGGAAGGGAATAAGGCTTTTATTGAAAAAATTGTAAGTCTTGAGAATGGTTTGGAGGTAGGAAGGGAAGGGTGAGTGGCTGGTCAGCAGGGTATGGTTTTGGCGTTTGGGATTAAAGTCTTTATATGCATAAGTTAAGTATTCTTACGTGGAACATTAGAGGTTTAGGAAGAAGGGAAAAATCTGTAGCAGTTGCGAGGCAAGTAAAGAAGATCAAACCGGTTTTGATTTTTATTCAAGAATCTAAACTTGATCATTGTCATGTGTCGATTATAAGGAGAATTGGGGGAAATTTGCTAAAGGGAGTGATGGTGTCTCCTGCACAGGGGTCTAAGGGTGGATTGATTAGTATGTGGAATGAAAATGTGTTCAAAGTCACTACTCAGCATGTTCACAGTAGGTTTATTGCATTAGTGGGGAATTTTATGAATGGCCAAAAGGAGTTTGTCTTTATTAATGTCTATGGACCTGTTATAGAATCTGAAAATGAGGAATTTTTTGGGGAGTTGCTGAATTATGTTAATTCGATGAATCTACCAGTGTGTATAGGGGGCGATTTTAATGTGTATCTTGATCCGGAAGAAAAGCAAGGGAGATCACAAAATAGACATGCTATTGAAATTCTTAGATCATTTGTGCAACAAGCTAATCTTATGGATTTGCCCATGTCAGGAGGAACTTTCACTTGGTGTAGTAATAGAGAATTTTCAACATGGGTTAGACTTGATCGATTCCTAATTTGTGGCAGATTTTTGAACAGTTTTCCTAAGATTTCACAATGTCTTTTACCCAAATCAGTTTCAGATCACAACCCGGTCTTGCTGGAAGATGTTAGTCACAATTGGGGCCCCAAACCTTTTAGGTTCTTTAATTTTCTGTTAGAGGAACAAGGTTTTGATGCATTGGTTGAAGACTGTGTGGTAGCTGAGAAGAAGAAGAAGAAGAAGAATAGAGGGGGAATTTTCAGGATGTTACGAAAAAGAAGATCAGAAATTGGTCTGGCAGTAGTCATTTAGGGCTGGCAGACTCCATTTCGTTGCTTGAACTGAAGATAAACTACTTGGATTTAAAATCACAAGGTGGAATGTTGTCTACGGGGGAGTGGGATCAGTTGATTGAATCTAAAAAGGAGCTTTGGAGGTTGCTTAGGATTGAGGAAAGTATTTGGTGGCAGAATTCAAGAAATAGATGGATAAAAAATGGAGACAAAAATACGAGGTTTTTTCACCTTAGTGCTATGAAAAGGAATAGAGTCAATATTATTCATTCTTTGAAATTTCAAGGGGAATTAATCTCGGATCTAGAAAAGATAAAAGGCAGTGTGCATGAGTTCTACAGGACTGCTTATAACACAAAATCAGCTTTGGAGGTAGAGGGCTTAAATTTTTATTTTTTGAAGATAACAGCAGTTCAAAGTGATTATTTGGAGGTGGAATTTACAGAGCAAGAAGTGTGGCAAGCAATTTCTTCTTCGGAAAGCGCAAAAGCTCCTGGGTCGGATGGTTTTACCATGGGTTTTTATAAGAAATACTGGAAAAATTTGAAGGAGCAGATTATGGAGTTTTTCTCAGATTTCTATGAAGGAAAGAAGTGGGTACATGGGGTTAATCACGCATTTATAACCTTGATTCCTAAGAAAGGTAATCCTGAGAGTATAGAAGACTATAGACCTATTAATCTTGTGGGCAGCCTATATAAAATACTTTCAAAAGTTCTTTCAAAAGAGGCTTATATCTTGTGTTAAAGATATTATTAGCCCTAATAAGTTTGCTTTTATTCTGGGGAGGCAATTGTTGGACTGTGCTTGTTTGGCCAATGAAGGAATTGATTTTTGGAGGAAACAAGGGCTTAAAGGGTTGTGTTTAAAGTGGACTTCAGCAGAGCGTATGACACAGTGGAATGGCAGATTCTTCTAAGGATAACGAAAGAGATGATTTTTGGCGAGAGGTGGTGTTCTTGGATCAAGCAGTATATTTCTACAGCTTTAATATTGGTTCTAGTGAACGGGTCACCTACAGAAGAGTTTTCTATTGAAAAAGGCTTAAGGAAAGGATGTAGCATTTCTCCTATTCTGTTTAATGTTGTTGGGGAATTACTTCATAGGATGCTGACTAAAGCAGTGGATTTGCGGATGATTTAATTATTTTTTGTGGAGCTTCAATTACACAGATTAAGAATGTTAGAAGAGTATTGAGGATTTTTAGCCTAATGACGGATCTTCATCTCAATTTAGCTAAAAGTAAACTTTATGGTATTAATGTGGAGAATGACATCCTTGAAGATTGGGCAAGAAATATTGGTTGTTATATTGGTTCATTTCCTACGGTATACTTAGGCCTTTCATTAGGGGCAAAAAAGAATTCGGAGAAGTTGTGGGAGCCAGTCATCGAGAATTTTAATAGAAATTTGGTGGGGTGGAAAGCTTCATCTTTATCCATGGCTGGTAGATTGGTGCTTATAAAGTTGATTCTTTCATCCTTACCTATCTTCTACCTATCTATTTTCAAGAGGCCTTCTACTATTTGTCAACGGTTAAATTCTTTGATGTCGAATATTTTATGGGAAGGAGAAGAAGAGAATGCATTGGGTTAGTTGGAAAAAGATATGTAAGTCGTTGAGTGGTGGAGGCTTGGGAGTTGCTGATTTGAATCTTACCAATAGAGCGTTGTTGGGAAAATGGGTTTGGAAGTTTGGAAATGAAAAAGAGACGATATGGAAGAAATTCTTTTGCAACAAACACAATGTGAGTTGTCATTCCTTGGATATCACTAAGGTTCTCTCTCAAAAAGACTCTTGGATTTGGAGGGGATTTGTCAATAACTTTACAAAGAATGATTTCATTGGAGGTTGCCTTAGATCTCACGCAAAAATACAAATAGGGAATGGAAAATCTGTCTCTTTTTGGAATGATACTTCGCTTGGGGATTTCCCATTGAAAATCCTTTTCCCTAGGATTTTTGCCATTTCTTCTCATAAAGGGGGCAATGTGGCTGATTTTGGAATTTTTGATTTGAATGGATGGGAGTGGAATATCAAAACTAGGAGGAATTTATGTGATTAGGAAGTGCTGCAGTTGATTGAGTTATTGGACAAACTTAAAAAAATTAAACTAACTGAGTCATTGGAGGACTGTTTGTTGTGGGATGGAATGGGGGAGGGGCAGTTTTCTATTAAAGTTTGCAGGAAAGCTCTTTCGTCTGTTTATGAGGATACATTTCAGTGGAACAAAAGTGTATGGCTGGGTCTAGTTCCACCTAGAGTGGAGATTTTCCTTTGGCAGTTGTCTCATAAAAAAATTGATGCCAGAGTGGAATTGATGAAAAGGGGTTCCTATAGGGGAGAATATTCTCTGCCCTCTATGCAACCTATGTGATGAATCAGTCCAGCATCTTTTCATGTTCTGTCATGTTTCGTGGGAATTGTGGAATAAACTAATATGTTATTGGGGTATTAGTTTAGCTCTACCGCAAGACCCTCCATCCTTACTCAGTTCTTGGTCTGATTTTAGGCCTTCTTCAGATATTTGGAAGTTTATTCCGGGGGTAGTGTTATGGTCAATTTGGAAGATTAGAAATGAAATTATCTTTGATAAAGGAAAATTGGACAAACTTTCATTGTTTTTCATTGTTCTTTTAAGGCTAGCAAGATGGTTTTTAGTTAAGTATCCTCTTGCCTCTATTAAGGTGGATTCTTTAATTGGTGATTCTTCCTTGGCAGATAGTATTTCTGCTTCTAAGGAATTGTCCAGGCCTATGTACTGTTAGATTCCTCCTCCAGTAGATTTTTTTAAGATGAATATGGATGGGGCTTTTAGTAGAGTTGGGAGGGTTGCTGGAATTGGGGGTCTTCTCAGGGATTTGAATCGGGTTACACTTATGTCTTTTTCAGAAAATGTTGGTCCTACTCTTCCCTATCTAGCAGAACTGAAAGCTATCAAAAAAGGCCTTGACATCTTTGTTTCTTCAGAATGGTTGTCGAAGGGCAGGCTTATTATTGAAAGTGATTGTAAGCTTGTAATGGATTGGATCAAAGACCAAGCTTTAGTTCTTGTTTTCCTTACAAATTTTGTTAAGGAAATTGTGTCTATTATTTCTGTTAGAGATTTTATTGTTAGGTGGATTCCAAGATGTTGTAATTGCGAGGCTGACAAGCTAGCAAAGGAGGGGATCGGGTGATTTTGCATTCTGTTTTCAGTTGGGGATTGTTTTACAGATATGTTACTATAGGAGTGTGTGATGTCCTATGTTGTTTGTAAAAGTGTATTTAAGTCTTATGTAATTCAGCTAACATTAATAAATTGAGGTACTCTTTTCCTCCTTCCGCTAGTTGGTTCTTACCTTAGGGCAAAGAACCACTAAGAGGGAGGTTTTTTAATGAGACCTCCTATTCCTATAAAAAAAAAAAAAATAAACAATATGGTAGTATGGATACCACTAATAAGAACAAGGGTGAATTGTGAAGCCAAAGAACTCCTAAAAACCAGTTAGAGTAACAGTGGAACAGCAATTTCATTAAAAAGAAAAAAGAGAAAAATGATTTTGGATAAACGATGTATGTACCTGTAACTGTACCTGCACCACCACCCGTGTGAGCAGGCACCCTGCGAGCATATTTAGGAAAAAAATTATAAGCAAGAATAAATGTTTCATGCAAATCCAGTAATGTTTTGGTTACCAATGAGCAAAAATACCAGCACTTCCAGAAGCTCTCATCTTTATCAAATTTCTTTGGTAATGAATGTTTCACTTCACTCTCAAGCATTTGGTTTTTCCTTTGTTCTAGCTACTTTTATTTGTTTATTTCTTGGCAGTTTCAAAAGTAAGTTCATAAAATATAAAACATCATAAGAACAATACTTACAAGAAAACAATATTCACATGTGCGGTCCAAAATCAGGTTTATGCATATTGCAGGTATTAATACTAATAGTAATCTAAAACTGATTTTCATCTCAAAATGTACCAATATCAATCAAACATTTTGAGACTGATTGAAAACATTATTAAACTGCATCCAGAACTAAACTAGATACAATTAAGCTATGCAATTTGAATTGTTCCAGAGTAACTAATTCAAAAGGAAACAAGGGAAACAATCATGTTCTCACCAGGTTGACTGCGGCCGACTAAGCTGTGAAAGAAGAGACTGCTGCAAAGTCAATAGTTGCTGCAATAGGAAAACCAGAATGGTGACATATTCCAATATTCCTTTTGCAAATAGTTTATTTTATATCCTAATTTTAACAACATTCCTGACAAGAACATTTCAAGTGAAAACATAACTACAGCCAAATAGAAAATCAAGCAAGGGTATGCAACAAGAAATTTCAAATTTTACTTTTTCATGCTGAACAGCTTGTTGGCAATTAGAAGTACACTACTATGTGTTTTCATGCAGGAAAAGTCAACTGACGAAGAGATTGCGAGTTTTGCATCACTTCTCTTGGTTGAGAAGAGCCAGTCAAGCTTTGAAGTTGAGGACTAAGAGCAAGAGCCTGGCCATGGAAATGTCAGAAAACAAAAAACCTAAACAAACCCCACTTATAGGAGAATACAAGATAAACTAAAACCTGGTTCATGTATTGAGGGGTTGGACAGGAGGCTTTGCATCATTGGAGAAATAATAGGGTTTTGCATCAACTGATTCAGTGAATTAGTATCTTGCATAGCACCAAACAAGCCTTCAAACGATGGAAGACCAAGACCACCTAACCCTGAAGGTGCCTGTGGCCTAGAATCTGCACTATGATCCGACCTTGTAGTGTTAGTTTGGGCACCTCCACCTGCAAGATTTCATTCAATAAGTAGTTTCTTGGTAATAGTTCTCTTTGTCATTTTTCGAAAAAAGGGAACTATAACTCATAAATCATCTTCAGAAAGTAAATCAAAAGAACTAAAGATCAGATAACTGCTTCAAAGATAAAACATTTTGAAGAATGGTTTGAGATGAAAGGGCAAGAAAGCAAAAGCTTACCCGCAGAAGAAGACCAAGGGTTTGGTAGTGGATTTGTATTAGGAGCTGGTGAATCAGTAGTTCCAGAAGCCGGCGAGGACTGGTTAGTTGACCTATCTCTGACTTGATTCCCTCCTTGAGATCCTAGGAGGGCAGCAAATGGGTCTGTACCACCATTTCCAGTAGGCCCAGCCAAGGTGGTTGAATTCATGAAAGGCTCTTGAACAGTTTCATAAATCCGGTGAAGCGTGTTAAATCCTTCCGGAAATGATACTATGTTGCTCATTGCTCTATCTGAATTCCTCAATATTTCACGCATGAGCTCAGGGTTTCTTGCAGCTTCAAGTGTTCGATGGATAGCAGCTGGATCATTAAGTAAGTGTGCAAGTTCAGGATTTCGGTCGATTAACTCTGCAAGTTGAGGATTGTTCATGATCAAGTTTCCAACCATATCAGGATCATTTATTAAATTCCGAACAGTAGGCATATTCATAAGTTCTGTCATAATGTCGCGGTTTTGAGTTAATTTCCGGTGTACTTGTTCAAAATCTGGGAGCCCAGCTCCAAATAAACCAGCACTGCCACCTAAGCCTCCAAAGCCAAGTCCCGGAAACAATGAAACCTTTTGACCAGCTCCTCCTGGTCCCAATGTCCCGCCATCATCTAAGCCGACACCCCTTGAATTTGTTTGAGAGGTGTTCGAACCGCCAGAACTGATTGACCCAGATGCATTGGTTGTTGTTGGTGATGGTGTTGGTGCAAAACGACGAACCAAGCGGACGGTGTGATCTGCCTCCAAACCTGAAGTATAAAATTAATCACACCCTCAAACATTTAAGTAGGCGTAACTGGTGGAAGTAACATCTGGGATTTCTTTCAACCACCCTCCAATCTACCTTCACCTCGTCGTAGTTCCATTAAACAAAAAGCAGAACTTACAGAACAAGAGGTATTGTAATAACCAATAATGGTAGCTTTTTTAAATACAGTGAACTACCCCGTTGAACTAGCTGGAAAAATAAAAAACCAAGCAAGCCGTCCCATAGAATCTCATTAAATCATTCACGGGTAGCATACCAAAATATTTAAGGGAAACAAGCTTCAAACATTCGATTTAAAACACTGGATTATAACTCTTCTGTCATATCAAATGTCAAAGGGACAAACAATGAATCCAGTAGCTTTGAATTAAGGAAGAAATGCGAAAAACGAAACAGAGGATGAGTTAAACGTACCGTAGCTTTGAAGTGTTTGGTCGTCCTTCAAGATTCGGCCCTTGTAAATCAAACACTGCTGATCGGCGGGAATATCGCAGTTGCGCGCCAGAAGTGCCTTGAAAGAAAGGACAGTGGAATCAAGTTTGATCTGAACGGAGAATTTGGAGGCGGGGGAACAGCTGATATCGACAGTGACGGCATCTCCGGCGGCGTCGGTTTGGCTGACCGCTTCCATAGCAGAAGTAATATCACCTCCTCCCATAGTGTGTGTGCCCCACTCACCGCCTCAAACGCAAAAGCTCCCAACTTTGGCCAGCAACAATCCTATATGGGTAAGCACTAAGCAGGGAAATGAGTAGGGAAATTTGATACTACCGTAAAATCCAAGTAAAACGCAGGTGTAAAGAGACATGAAACTGCAATCCGAGACAAAGTATATTTTTTTCAGGGACAATGAATGAAACGTAAAAATACAGGGCAAAAAATTTAATTAATTATCACAATAGAATATATAAGAATTTATTTTAAAATTACCATAATTTTTAAGCTTAAATATAGGGATTGTAAAAAAACCTGAATCTGATGGTGAAAATCGAAAATCGAATTTAACGGGTTGGGTTCGGGATGATAAACGGGGAGGGGAAAAATCCGTTTATGTTAAACGGGGACGGGTTTAGTAATCTCCGCCCCGATTACTCGATTACCCGGCCCGATTACCCGGCCGATACCCGACCCGATAAATATTAAAAATAATTATTTTTTATATATAATATTAATAACATATTTTAAATTAACCCTTAAATATTTTTTATTATTTTTTTCACCCCATACTGCCCCACTTTAAAACATCGTCCCCGCTTCAATTTTTAAAATTTACCTCAATTTTCGCTCTCTCAAAATATTCTTTTTTTCTTTTAATAGTGAAAATAGTGATTACACTTCTTATTTGCAATTACGTGTAAACCTTTAATATCTTTTAATAGACAAACATTGTCTAGTTAAATGGGAAAAGTCTGGTTGGTTTGCCAGAATTGTGCCACTTCCAACGAACGTGTACTTGCTGCAGGGTCTTCGTCCAGTACACCATTACACATCTGAAGCCCACCACTAGTATGGGCAAGCTGGAAATTATGTCCAGCAGAATTTAAAATCAATGCAACTTGCATATTGTCTTCGTCTCTTCGACAACAACCATCATTTTCACATCGCATTCCAATAACCTCATACAAGCTGTCTCCATTACACAAGTTTTAACGTTCCTCTTGACAAAGCGAAGCATGTGAATTAGTCATATTAAAATCAGCCTCGGGACCTATACCAACATCACGTTCTTCCCTAGCAAATGGAACAACAACTGCTCTCTAGTATTAAATTCGAAAATTCTAAAAAATTTCGGTTATTCAAAAATTAATCGAAATTTATTCGGTTCAGCTAATATTTTCGAAGAAAAAAAAAATTTAGTTCGGTTAACGGTTAAAGAAAAAAAAACTCGGTTAATTCGGTTAATGGTAGTTCGGTCGGTTCGGCCACCGAATTAACCGAATGAACAACCCTACCAATACTCGTTTAAATAAACGTTTATACTAAACGAGGATACTCGTTTCCCCGCGGTTTTCCCCGATTACCCGATGGGGATCCCCGTTTAAATCCCTACGTTTTTTAAACGGGGACGGATACTGGTTTTTTAAATGGGGACAGGGAGACCAATATCCGACCCGAACCCGGCCCGTTGCCATCACTACTTAAATACATTATTATCTCTCCAAATTATACCCTTTGTATTGAGCTACTCCTTAAAATATTTTTCGATATTTTATCCCCTAAAGTTAAAAATGTTACCTTGATTATCCCAAATCACTAATTCTGTTAAAAAAGACACTGGTAAATTAATATTAAGTCCCTCAACTATTCTCATGGCTTTATTTTAGTCACCCAAGTATTTTCTTTAGTCTGCTAACTTTTTTTTTACAAAATCATCACTAGACTATTTTTTGTCTCACGACACTTGTGACGGTTCTCCAGCAAAAACAGATTGATAAATGAACCCATGTTGTTGTTGCTGCTGCTTTTAAGACTAAACAAAATCATTTGTTTGTTGATTTACAGCGACGAACAGAGCATTGGTTGAGGGAAGTAAAGAAGACGATTTGTTTGTCTTCTAGCTTCCATGTCGCTAGAAGACGATTTGTCCACCATTGAAGCAAATAATTGAACAGGTTCCTGACGTTGTTGAGGGCTACAAATCTTTTTGTGAGATCTTTGTGACATGGAAGCTTCACCAAAACCTGAACTTAAAAAACGAATGGCCGGGGCATTCCATATCGTATATCCTAAAACAAGGAACTAAATTGCCGTCAAATCTTCTAGCGCAATGAACTTGCTGTAATTGAGACAAATCATCAAACAAGTGGTGGGCAACAAAAAATGAAAACCATAGAATAAAATACCAGAAAACTAAGAGTTGGGTAATGTTTATACAATGGTTTTGGGTGCTTTGGTGCGAATTAGTTGCTCGAAAATATGAGAAGCGACATTGTTGGTTTTAAACGTCACCTTCGAATCAAAACTTTTAAACAAAAACAAAGATATTTTTTGAATTTTTTTTTATTTTCTAGTTTAGATTGGTTTGGCTCTTATCCAAAAAAAAACATGGTACAGTAAACAAAAAGACTTAAAATACACTGAGATATCCTGTAAAGTATTTTTTAAAATGTTTTAATCTTTTAATTTTAAATCATTATCTCGCTTGTCCTAGATCGTTAACACCATTAAAAAAAATTACGAATCAATCAAAACACACTATGTTACCTCTTAATTCTTATTTTCTTTATCTAAATAAATAAAAAATAATTAAAAAATAAAATTATATAAAATATCAAAATTACCCTTCTTCCTCGCCCCACTCTTTCTCTCAGATAATAGTAAAAATTAAATTTAGATTGTGTTGGTACGAGACGTGCCGCGATCTTATCTTTCTCCTTTAATAGTTCTAATATTACAGAATGAAAATATTTTGTGGAAAAAAAATTCATTGATAGAATCATTGTTTCGACCATGATCTAAATTTATTGGTTATGGCTTATATATCATATTAACTGTAGAGAAAAATAAAAAGAATTATCCCATTCACATATATAAAATAGATATTCATAGAGAGTACATCGATTTTTTTTTTATATAAAAATAAATCGATATATATTCTAAAAATCATACTTACGAACCAATTTACATCAGTGATTAAAAGAATTGTATTTATTTGTAAATGTCAAGGGTTCGAACACCAGCGGCTGCAACAGAATGATTGAACATTCATTATCAAATGATTGAGAGTATTTTAATAGATACTATTTTATTTTATAATCACTTTAGCTTAATAAAAAAAGAACTACTTTACTTCGTAATCACTTTAACTTAAAAAAATCATACTTAACTAAAGGTTGTTCCTCTATTTTCTTTTTAAAAAGATATAAATTAAACTCACTCATTGACCTAGATTATTTTAGTCGAACTCGAATTATCAATGAATAATAAAATTTCCTTAACTACGGGACACTAATTCTAATCCTATATTCTTAAATACATACTAATTATCATAAACTTGCTATAATTACAATGAATTTGTCGTCAAATAAAATTTGTTTAATTTGAGTAAGTATGTTTGTAAAGTAGGGATGGCAAACGGACGAGATCAGTGCGGATATCCCTTCTTAAATCCCCATACCTATCTAATATTTTCATATTCACCACTTACCCATCATCCACGACGAGTAAAATTTTTAAATTCACACCAACCCACGCATGTACATTCTCAAATCTACCCTCACGTCCACTACCCAATTGGATATCTATCACCCATCTTGTACCCACCTATACATGCGCATACTCGTCTGACAACAACTTCGCAGATTACATAAGCAACAAAATATAAAACAAACACATCCATTAAGAAGCATAATAAAATAAAGGCTTATTTCATAAATAAGTATATAAAGTATACTCTTTTTTCATTTAAGTACTTAGGTGGCGTTTGGTTCGCTAGAATGTTTATGAGGGAATTGGAATTTGTGAAGGAATTGAAATCTGTAAGAATTGGAATCCAATTCCATATTCTGTTTGGTTGGCAGGAAATGGAATTGGAATCCAATTTCATATTCTGTATTCTAATTCCATTTCCTGCTTGGTTCGCATATATGTCAGATGAATTTGATTTCAGTAATGTAAAATGACAAAATTGTCCTTCCTGTTTTTTTGCTTTATTTTAGTTTATTTTACAACTTACATGTAGTAATATATTATAAAAAATTAAAAAATATTAAAATTTCATTTTATTGATTGATTATTCATTTTAATAAATTATAAAAATCATGCTAATAAACATTATAAGTTAAAATCATCGCAATCAAAATATGTTAATAAGTTACCAAAAGATAGAGCAATATTTCTATACATTCCAATCGGAGTATGTTAATTAGTTACCAAAAAATATATCAAAAACTATTTTTATTCAATATATGAATTAGAAACTCGACCCGACACGACTCAAAATAATAAAAAAATTATTTTTATTCAATAAAAACATTGACTTAATTGAAAAAAAATTATATATAGAGGGGTATTATTGTAATTATTTCTAAATATATAAGATAAAATTATATATTTTTTTCGGGTCGATCCGGTTTTTTTCACCCTAAACCCGAACCCAACCACACCTGACCCGAATATCACACTTAAAAAGCCCCGACTCGACCCGAATATCACACTTAAAAAACCCGACCCGACCCGAACAAAATAAAGTTTCATCCTACCCGACCCGAATATATGAATTAGAAATCCGACCCGACCCGAAATAATAAAAAAATATTTTTATTTAATAAAAACAATGACTTAATCCGACCCGACCCGAATTATATATATTTTTGGGTCGGTTCGATTTTTTCACCCTAAACCCGAACCCGACCCGACCCGAATATCACGCTTAAAAAAACCCGACCCGACTCGACCCGAATATCACACTTAAAAAACCCGACCGAACAAAATAAAGTTTCATCCGACCCGACCCGAATATATGAATTAGAAATCCAACCCGACCCGACCCGAAATAATAAAAAATTATTTTTATTTAATAAAAACAGTGACTTAATCCGACCCGACCTGAATTATATATATTTTCGGGTCAGTCCGGTTTTTTTCACCCTAAACCCAAACTCGACCTGACCCGACCCGAATATCACACTTAAAAAAACCCGACCCGACCCGAATATATGAATTAGAAATCCAACCCGACCCGACCCAAAATAATAAAAAATATTT